ACTCCTCTATGGACTCGTCGGGATTCTCATCCCTTTTCATTCCTCTTTATTCCCTTACGACGCTCGGAGCTCGGCAAGTTCTCATTAGGTCAGTGATTATTGCAGATTTCATAATGTGCCTACAAGTTTTAAATTTGTGATTATTATGTGATGTTAATTTTTTCAATGGCGATCAGTACGCATGACAAGTTGAACATTCCAATAGCATGAGGAATTTGAGAGAATTCAAGACCTATATATTGTGTATACTCGATGTAAGTTGTATCTATGTTTTGCTCAGTTTTTTTTTTTTTTGAAATGGATCCTTCCCTAAACTTCTCTTATGGAACATTAGTTTGCATGAACTTTTTAGGGTTTATTCTGATATTAGTACCTTAATCATTAGTACATTGATATTAGTCCCTCAAATCTTCATATTTTGATATGTCCCCCAAATGCACCTTAATATGTTGATATTAGACCTTCTGTTAGCTTAAACCATTAAAAAACCTACACCATATTTGGATACTAATCACCTTAATATGTTGATATTAGTCCTCGTCTAAACCTCTAAGCCTTCTAATCCCCTTCATCCTCTTCCAGTCTCAGGTGATAGCCTTTATCTACAAGCCCCCTCCTTTTTCTTCCCTCTCTTCATGCAATTCAAGCCAAACCAAAAAAATCCTCTATTTCTTCAAGCCCCCTCCATATGCAATTCACGCCATTGATTTTTATGGTTTGATTGTTGATTTTTATGGGTTGATTGATAATCTATTCCTGTATAATAATGGGAGAATCCAAGATTCACTATTTATGCTACAATAAATGTTAATGTAGTACAGCCAGGAGGATCCAAGATTCACTAATCAAGCCACAATAAATTATTGTAGCATTATTACTGTAGCTCAAGCGGGGTACTGTAGCATAAAAATATTACAGTAACATTTATAAAAATTGTATTTACATACAGAATTACTGTAGCCGAAATAAAAAATGAAGGTCGTGTTTTGTACGGGATGCACACTAGTGCATTGTAAAGAGAAAGAAGAAGATGAATTGAGTTTGGGTTTTGAATAAATAGGTTTGAGTTTGAGGGGTCTTAACGAGTTTAAGTTCAAAGGGTCTTCGGTTTGGGTATGTGAACTGAGAGGATAACTGACCATTCAAGAAAAAAGTTAAAAGAAATGGAATATTCCCCTTTTATTTTAACACCAAGTAACTACTGAGACTATATCTGCATATTAAGGTAATTTGGGCGACTAATATCAAAATATGAAGATTTGAGGGACTATATCAAAATTATACCATGAAGAAGGTTTGAGATTATATACTAAGGTGTGCTTTTTTGCTTCTTCTCCAAGACTTTCTTGCTTCTACCTTGCTTCTTCTTCTTTGAAAGAGAGTTGTAGAAGAGGGGAGGACTTGAGAGGAAGGGGAAAATGAGAAATGAAAATGGGGGAGAGGGGACCGGTTCTAGAGGAAAGAGATGGAGAGAATAAGTTGCATTTCTTCTTTTTTTTGTATGAGAGAGAGAGAGAGTGTAAAACTCAACCATGTGAAGACATTAATAATTTCTTTGATGTTAAATTAGGATTTATTTTCAAAAAAATACCCTATTTTAGGGGATCATCGCTACTTAAAAATTCAAGGGGTGGAGGGGGTGGTTTTGGGTTAGATTTGTTATGGATTACTTTGTCCTAATTATGATTAATGTCATAGCTAACTAGGGTCAAATACTCATGATATGCACAATCTGTGAAATGCATGGATTTCATCATTGGTCTACTCCGCTCAGCAAAAGTAGAAGACACCATGGCTGGTAGTTGATTGCCTAATTATGTCAGTACACTTTATAGCTGTCAAAATGATGTACACCATGGAGAAGCTGACCAGTCTATACATTGAGGAAATTGTGAAGCTCCACATAGTTCCCAAGTCCATCTTATCGGATCGAGACTCTCGTTTTATCCTAAGATTTTAGAAGAATCTACAAGGAATTGAACTAAAGTCACTACTGAGATAAATGGACAATCAGTAAGACTATACAGAACAAATTATGTCACTACTGCTCACCCTGAGATAAATGGACAATCAGTAAGACTATACAGAACAAATTATACAATTGAGATAAAATTATAAAATTTAAATATTATTGGGATTGTTTTATACATTTAATAAAACAATTGGGGTCAAATTGTAAATACATAAAAAAATGAGGTTAAAAAAAATTAAAAAAAATAATTGAACACTAATGCGGTGATGAACAGTACGGCGCCAAAATAGCATCGGGCTGTTCATCACCGCTAAAATGGACATGAAGGGTAGGATATGGGTCCAAGAAGTGTATACCAAGTATTTTAAATTAAAACATATATCGTATAATTGAGTACGTGTATGGGTAAATATATGCATACATCAAGGAGTGTCAATGAAAGTTGGGTACGGATAAATGTCGGGTACGTGTCGGGTATGAGTACAGCTTCATGATTGAAGTACTTGGGTAACATAGCCGGGAACAAAATTTCCTTTAAGGAGAGAAGTATGTAACATCCTGAATTCAAATAATCGAAAATCGTTATCGGTACCGATTCTTGTATCAATATTTGCAATATATGAATTCCAATAGCATGAATTAAAGGCCTATTAAATGAAAATATTAATCTAACTATGCTATTCTTAAACATCGTTAGTATATAACCCCAGTTATTTATAGTCTTAACCATAATTAGGGCAAATTGATTCGTGACAAATCTTACCCAAAACCACCCTCTCTACCTCTTGAATTTTTGGGCAACCATGATCCCCTAAAATTAAATGGGTTTTTTTTGAAAATAAATTCTAATTTGACATCAAAACACTTATCAATGTCTTCACACGACTAAGTTGAGTTTTACACATAGACTCTCTCTCCCCCCTCTCTTGTATACAAAAGAGATAAATGCAACTCATTCTCTTCTCCATCTCTTCCCTCTAGAACCGGTCTCCCTCTCCCCCATTTTCATTTCTCATTTCCCCCTTCCTCTTAAGCCCTCCCCTCTTCTATAACTCTCTCAAAGAGGAAGAAGAAGAAGAAGCAAGGAGAAAAGTTAGGAGCAAGAAAGTCTTGGAATAGGAGAAGCTAAGTACACATGTTGATATATAATCTCAAATCCTCTTTGTAGAGTACTTCAATAAGGTTAAAATCTGACTTATTAAAGTTTTAAACCATTTTTGGTCATGCATGAGCAATTTGGAAGTTAGGCTACACTCAAGTATATGTGGATGCATGTCTCTCTATGCTGAAAAAGCTCACATCTTTATGCATCTGAAGTCCATATGGATCTGAGCTATCAAGAAAAATGTAATCTTTCCTTGTTCTTAGTTTCCTAATGTTAATTTTCTTGTGGTTTTGCTCTGGTCAGTAACTCAATAGGCTTCCATGTCGATAAATGTAATTTACAACAGATTTTTCCAGTACTTGTTGTTAATATCTTTCTCTAGAAAAATCCTTTTGAATAGTCTTCTAATCTAAAAACTAGACTCATGTAGCTCTCATTTGGCACAAGTTTTGTTCAATTTGGAGTTCATTTGTTACCTCAATTCTTCAGTTAAATTTGATGCACGTGCACTCTGAAGTCAGTCTGACCCTCTTGGATTATTTTGCAGGTAACTTTATCTTTGGTTTGAATGAAATAAAGTGGGTTTTTGGTTTTGAAAGTAGACTCATAAATCTTCTTTCAGTACAAATTTTGCTAGTTTTTTATGCAACTTGATCACCAAAATCAAACGAGTATTTCAGGATGAATTGTCTGTAAATGCATGTTTTTAAAAAGCTGACACCCATGCACTATAAAGGTCATATCTCTCTACAGAAAATTCATTTTCATAAACCACTTGTTGTTATCGAAACTAGAATCATGTAGGAGCATTTTGGCTCTGGTTACATTGAATTTCGACATCATCTGTTCCCCCATTTATCTATCTGAATCCGTTAGTTTACATTGCATTTCACAGTTTGTGCATATTATGAGTATTTGAGTGTAACCTTTTGAGCAAAACATAAAACATGAAATAAATTGTAAGTCAGGAAAAAAAGTCCGAGACCTAGTTCTATAGAATCTTACATGTATATGTATGTACATATGTGTAGGAGCTGAATCCTTGGGCTTGAACATCTGTATTGGAGAAACGCTTCACACAACCGGTCGGTAACCCTTCCCTTATTTTTGGTACTTAGAACTTCAATTGTATACTTTCTTGTTCCATAGAAGTTCTATTCAAAATACTTGCAATTGTGATTATCTTGTTTGTCCACTTTGATATTATACTGTTAATTTTCATGAATGATCATGTTAACACTGTGGCCTCTTGCCTTGAACATATTCTTGCCTTAAATAATAACACTTGTTATTGTCATGGTCTTTTGATGCTCTGTCTTCATGCATTTAGTGCCCACTATGTGAGGTAACTCACTGGCGGGTGGTATTGAGTCTTGGGAGGACATGATGCCCTTTACGCTAGGATACTCACTTGGTGGGTGAAGGACTACTATCTAAAAAACCCAACTTTTTGTAATACAATCCACTTTTTTGGTGCATTTGGCAACATGATCTCTGGCAATGCTACACATTATTCTTCCTGTGCTGGTAAACATTATGGGTTTTAAGGCATCTACTACTGTGTTGTGTATTGTTAATAACAGTGTTGCTTTGGAATAGGAATTAGAATGTAGTGTTGTATTTAAATAGGTGGCTAGCGGATGAGGCATGACCCATTTAGCAATTGCTAAATGGACCATAAATGAGGGGCATAAATGCGCCCTCCTATTTACAACCCGCCCATAGTTGCTCGTTAAACATCCCTACTTTTAACTCTTATCATTTTATTTATTTCTCTCTTACAAAATGTTAATTCCATGCATACTCTTAAATAAAATATTACATTTAGTATCTGTGATATTATTACTAGTTTTGCGTATTTGTTAATTAAATGTGTATAACTGCTAGTTATTGTTTGTGAAATATGATATATTATTATCTAATAATTTATAAGTATGCTAACTTGTAGTGTAGGACTGTCAATCTGCCATATCAGTTTTCATCCTCTTAATTCTATTAGGTTTATCTTGATCTAAAGTCGGATGTGGAATAGTGCAAAATTATATAATTGTTGAACTTTATCTAAAAGCATTTCAGATTTCATTTTAGTCATTAATGATGCCAAGAATTTACTCATGGCATATATTTTTCTCTGGAAACCCATGTTTTTATTCTTTTATTGTTAGTTTATATATTGTGATAAGTTATAGAATTTAACAGTGAATTTGGATTTGGAAGATATCTGGTGGATGTCCATGAAAGTGAATGGAATTATAGATTCAGATAAGACTTATGACGAGAACATGTCAAACTGATAAAGGCAAAGGCTACAGTTTCATAGTTTTCGTGCTTGAAAGAAGAATAACAGGGCACATTTTAAGGCTGCAATGTTACTGCATTGTCTGATGAGGCAAGGGAATTATCTGTTTTTGACTTAATTAATGCAAAACTATTGATATTGCCAAAATAACTATCATAAATGTATAAAAACCTCTTGTAAAGGGCAGAAAGATATGCAAATTGAAGTCTCAACTCCTTACTTTCTCATTTAAAAGGGACAACAATCGGGCACTAATCCTGGTCGATCTCTTTCTTTGTTGTGTTATGCAGATCAATATGGACTTTAGTGACTGCCTAGTCTTTCCGAACCAAATATATCTTAGTAGTGCACGCCCGACTATTTTCAAAATTGATTACTTAGTGTGATATCACATTCCATTAACAATGATATATGGAGTTAGAATTGCTATCGATGGGGAAGATTCTCTCATAAAATTAATGGATTGTAAAAGAAAAGAAAAGAAAAAGAAAGAAGATAAACTCCAGAAAGTGGAATTTGTTTCCAATAATTCTGCATCTTACTTGGTCCCTAACCCAACAAAGGGTATATAGACTCAAAAAATGGATAAAATAAGAAAGTTGGAAATGATTTATATAGAGGATCCTCTATAGAATGTAATGTAGGAAGGGAGGAGAGAGTGTGTGCGTGAGATATGGAGTTCCATCGTAGAAGGGTGAGTATAGTTATTCCTTTATAATGTTTGAAGGTTGTGTGAAGATTTTGTATTTTTTCCCGGAGAAATTCTTTTCTATCATTTGGTTAACTTCTTTTTCTATCCACTGTTAGAGCATTGAAGGTTGTGGTCTTAGCATTTAATGCAATTTCCTAATTAGATCTCTCAATTCTCTCTATTGCTAGTCTATTTTCTCAAACTAGAAGAAGTGAGATTGTGCCAAATTTTTACTTATGGTTATGAAAGTTTTTTCATTTGTTTCCATTTACATTTTTCTGTATAAAGTTACCATGGGTTATCTTTACATTGTCATTTCATACTTTTCATGAAAAAAAAGTATTAGTTTTGCAATATTACTCAAAAGAAAATTACAAGAGATGCATAGATCTAACCTTTTGTTCACACTCTCATTGAGATGAAATTCAACAAGATGGTGAAGATGGAAATAGAAGAAACCTATACTGTTACCTTACTACTGAGCAAACTAGGAGAATGGAGGTGTATGATCCTTAAAGACCAATATTTCTTTGCTTACTAAAATTATTTATTTCTCTATTCTAATTATTCATCCCTTATTTATCTCTTGTTCCTAAACTCTTTTCCTTTTTGTTTTCTTAAAGGTCTTTTAAGCAGGATTCATGTCCAAATGAAGGACAACGACAAATATTGAGTGATAAGTTAGGTGTGGATCCTCTACAAATCAACTTTTGGTTTCAAAACAAGAGAAATCAACAAAAGGTCAAACCTTTTGACCATTCCTCTCTCCAAATGTCAATGTTGACCACATTCCTTTACTCTTTTGGGTCAATAACTAGAAAGCCCCTTCATTTATTTCTTGTTCTTCAAGAAATCCTTTTATTAAAAGTTTTAACAAAAAACCCCTTTTCTTAATCCTTTAGTTCTCTAATGGAACTTGGTTCTTCAGATATCTTGGCAGACGACTTGCCTTTTTCCCCTTTATTTCAACTCCAAAAGTATGTGAATTCTAAAGCGCAGACGTTCGTCCAGACGTATAGAACATGCAAATTGTTAGAATATAAAGTTATAACCCTCAACCTTAATGACAACCAATGTTTTAAATGTCGGATGTCGGGTTCATGTCGGTTGGCCAAAATTCATGTCGGATAGCGGAAATCGGGGATATATCGGGGACATGAAAAAAATATCGGATTGCCATATCGGATAGGTTGATATAATATCATAAATAAAATCTTCACATACATGATAATTATATTGTCTAAACATATGAAAAAGTACATAACTTATTGATGTTAAGATCACTAACCAATTGTAGACACCTGATTTCCGAGTCGGGTTTTTCAAACTTGACCCACCGTCATGTCCAACATGGCGGCCGATATTTAAAACACTGATGACAACTTTGAAGTTTTGATACAGTCGGAGGGTCATTTGACATGGTACCGGAGTAACCCAGGTTCAGTTATCGCTAATAACAAATATAAAGAGTATTTAAATAGATGCCACTACATGGTCCAGGTTTCGGTCCATGAGAAGGGTGCTCAACCTGTGATGGCATTGTTAGAATATAAAATTATAATGTTCAACTCCAATCACAATTTTGGACTTTTGGTGTAGTGGAAGGGTCCTTTTACATAAACTTTTGTCTAGAGGTCTGAAGAACACAACTATAAATTAAAGGTTTATCATAGATAAGGGACTTTTTGTTGAACCTTTAGAATAAGGGGATTTCTTGACAAAACAAGGCATAAAAAGGGGGTTTCTTATAATTTACCCTCTATTTTCTTATATGATTCTCTTTTTTTCTGGTAATTTACCCTCTTTTTTTTTTCATTTGATGATAACACCACAGAGGCAAACTGAGATTTAATTGAACAAGAACCTAAAAGAAGAAAACAATAAGCTTATCATTCAGAGCACAACGTTGAATGTAGATATGAGATCTGCCTCTTGCAACAGTTGTGGGAATCCTTTGATTCCTGGAGAGAATTCCTCTAATAAGAATAAGCTTTGGATTGAGAATGCTCAGTTAAGAAACAAGGAGTTAAGAAACAAGGTGTGAAGATTTTGGACACTGACAATTCTGTCTTTTTACTTTTTCTTGATCTTATTTGACACATGAAATAGATAATGAAGGCATCAACACTACTTTCATTACGCGGTGGTGAGTCGGTAGTATCAAATCTTGCCTCCTCAATGGTGATATCTTCAGGAAAACAACCAGCTGACATGATAACTGAGTCTAATAAGAGAGGAAAAGTGGTTAAACAATATGAGTTTACGAGGAGCTTAACTGACATATTGAAAGATAGAAGTAATATGCTAAGGCTTGCTAATGGAAGAGATTCTTGCTTTGGCACAAATAGAAGAGCCACTATGGTTGTCAAACACCAACTCCTCTTTGAAAATTCTAAACCAAGAAGAATATTTTTGGAAGTTTGGAAAGATCAGAACAACTAATTTGAAGGGCGAGGGGACACGAGAAGAATCTGAGATTTTTATGAGCGCTAATTAACTGATCGAGATATTTAGGGATGTGGTAAAAGTCACTTTTAAGTTTTCTATTTTATTTTATGGATAAATAAATTCATTGAGGACCAATGTATATGTTTCTTGAAAAAAAATATGGTTTGCAGGAAAAGTGGTCAAGTGTTTTCTCTACCATTGTATCAAATCATGCAATAGTGGTATATGTTCTTTCTTCTGGCGAGGAGACACGATGGAACATGTTGTGCGCAGCGGAAATTTCGGCAGAGTTTCTGGTGCACAATAAGAGAGTAAGATCGATAAGAATTCTTGTTTCTCAAAGGGAACAAGAATCTGAAGCCTAATATCCCATCAAAGTGGGATATTTGCTCTTCCTCTCGTCAGCTCTAGGACTGCGCGTCGAGGGATCCTAAAAACTATTATAATGGCCACAAACTCAAACAACCAATTTTACGTGGTTCGGCAAACTGCCTACGTCCACGGGGCAAGGAGGGGGAGATCTACTATTAGAGGGAGAGAATACAACTAGGGTTTACAATCACTCAATCTAAACCCTCAACCAATCTCTCAAACCTCTTACACAAATATCTCTCTCAAAAATACTAAAGGACTCTTTGCACGCCGTCTTAAAAGAACGCTGCCAACACTTTTGCACTTTGCTTCTGCAGCCGCCAAAAGGCCCTCTCTCTTCTGCGATTATTTTTTTTTCTCCAAAACCGCACAAAACTTTGCCTTTCTCCCAGCCGCCACAAAATTTCGTCCCCTCTGCTTCCACTTGCACAGAAAACCTAGGAACAAAACTGTTCCTATATATAGCCTGGCCCCTTCACGTGTTCACGAGAAAAAAAAACCCTGCTGGACATCTCCCACGAACAAAGTCGTGGCCCCCGCAATCAAGTCCCCTCACGCGGTTTTGATGTCCGCGTTCACACGTCTTTCCTCCGCTCAATTCACGTGGGCGTGGCCCCACTAATCTCACGGCTTCACAATTCTCCACCTCGGTGAAGTTTCCTCAAAACTGAGCCGACACCAACCAAACCAAATGTCTCACTTGTTGTGTCCAGTACACCGTGAAACAATTCACGACAACAGACTCAATCCATAACAAGTCGAGAACCCAAATGAGAATGCAAACACTCTCCAAATGTCAGTATCAACTCACCAAATCGATCTCACCCCCATCAAAATCCAAACCGGCTGCATCATAAGACTGCCTACGTATCCTCTTGCCCAAGGAATCAAGCCGAACGTAGTTCACCCAAATGGCCTCCAAAGGCCTCAATCCACTAGAAGAGTTCGCAATCATTCTCTAATATCATCAACTCTGCGACTGATAGCACCTCCAATAGCCTCAAACACCTCCACCTGAGGTGAACCAATGGCCGTATCCAAACTATGTCTGTCAGCTGCATTCGAATCAAAGTCCAACTCATCATCTGCATCCGAATCCAAATGACTTCCACGCTGTGTCATCTCAGCTGGAATCCCAACCAATGCAGAATGACCTGGAGTATGTGGGAAAATCCCTACCCAATGTAGAGTAGCATCAGTCTCCACCCGCTGCGATACCTCTAAGGTCTGTCCAAAACTCTCCACCTGCTGAGAGTCAATTGGCTCCCTCATCGAAGCCTCATACAAAGTGATACTACCAGACCTATCTTTCAATGGAGTTTTACCTCCAATCGTAACAGTTGACAACTCTTTAATAGGATGACCCAAATATGTCGAAACCTCTGTCCAGAAACTCTTCTGCAAACCATTGCTCGATCACAAACACCGATCCTTCTCCAGCAAGGCACGGTTCTCCAAATTTGTCATCTTATCTAGTTGCCCCAAGATTTTATTTCTAACGAAGTGTCTCGCAATGCCGTGAGCTCGGCTCCAATACAGAAATAGGTCCATCTTGTACCTCCCACCAGAATGGAGTACCTTCACCTTTCTGTCTATCTTACACTTCTTCAATCTGTTGGATACTACTAGGACTTTCTCCAAAGGGGATTTGGTTGCAACCCAAACACGCCTAGAACAGCCACCAACAAAGAAAACCAAACTTCTATTACCTCCCAATGATGCCTCCTTGGAAGGCCCCCAAACATCCACGTGAACTCCTCCAGAACGACCCTTAGCACGGTGAATAGAGGTGCCACACTTCACCTCGGTCTTCTTGCTCACATTAACATGTTCACTGGACTTCAAACTGCAGGTCTTTGCACCCTCTTTCAATCTATGCGAGGAATCAATACTGGAATGGCCAAGCCCCAAATGCCACAGTCTAGTCGAATCAACAGAAGTCGTCAGCTCTCCACCTGCCACTATACCTCCAGTCAAGTAATACAGGTTATTTCTCCTGACGCCCTTCATCAAAATACGAGTCTCTCGCAATCTCAAGAACCATGTCCTCAACACGAACCTTCAGACCGTCTCCAACCAAAGCTCCAATCGAGATCAAGTTCTTCCTCAAAGAAGGAACATATCTCACATCGTTTAACTCTCTAACAGTCCCGTCAAACATCTTTATGCGAATTCTTCCTATCCCAAGGATCTGGCATGCACGGTTATCAGCCATGTACACCACACCACTATCCACCAGCTTCTCAAAACTGGAGAACCATTCCCTTCTAGGGCACACATGATAGGTCGCACCACTATCCAACATCCATTCAGATTCCTCCGAATAGCTAGCTGTAGGACTGATAGAAAGCGAATAAATAGAAGAGTCAGAATTATTACCATCCGATACGATGTTTGCTTCTGATGATGGTTGCTTCCCTTTTTCCTTCTGCTTATTCTTCATCCATTCATCGAGCTTTGAGCAGTCTTTCTTCCAATGACCAGTCTCCTTACACCAAGCACACTGATCTTTTCCTACTCTAGACTGTGACTTTCAATTCTTTCGGTTCGGATTCTTCCCTCTTGTGACCAACGTCTCTGCTACCGACTCAGTCGAATTCTCCTTATCCTTCTTTCGAAGCTGAGATAATTCACCAATGCAGCAGTGACCTCACTATACGAAAGGGATGCCTTCCCATTAATAAGAGTAAGGATGAAGGTCTCATATTCCTCGTCGGGCAAGGAACTCAACAACAGCAACGCCTTGTCCTCATCTTCAATCTTGACATCCACATTCGTCAAATCCGTAAGAAGCTTTGTGTAGTGGTTCATGTGATCTCTAATGGAGGTTCCCTTCTTCAACTGGAAACGATAAAGTCTCCTCTTCAAATGCAAGCGATTTTCCACACTCTTGGTCAAATACTTGCTTTCGAGAATCTCCCAAATCTTCTTCGCAGAAGTCTCATTCATCACATCATATTTTAGATCTTGAGTCAAACAAGACCTAATCACACCACACGCCGTTCGATTCATCTTTTTCCAAACCTTCTCTTCAATCTCATCTGGCTTGTCATCTAACTCCAAGGTATCCTCCAAAATTCTGCGCGTTCAGCGCATCCAAAACCTCGCATCTCCATAATCCAAAATTGTTTATGGCATTAAACTTCTCCACATCTATCTTCATAGAGTGGATATTCAAACTCTGAATGGTCTTCGCGCCAGAAGCACCACCCTCGACACCCGAAGCACATTCTTTCCCCGACATCTTACGCACCAATGAACAAAGAATAGATCCAAAACTGAAAGATAGAGTCTTTACCAAAAGATCCCACCTTTATCACCAACGAAGTCCTAAACGGGCCTCCAAATTGATCTACTCCTCCAACCAAACCCTAGATCTGGAATCTGGGCTCTGATACCACTTGTTGTGCGCAACGGAAATTCCGGCAGAGTTTCTGGTGCACAATAAGAGAGAAAGATCGATAAGAATTCTTGTTTCTCAAAGGGAACAAGAATCTGAAGCCTAATATCCCATCAAAGTGGGATATTTGCTCTTCCTCTCGTCAGCTCTAGGACTGCGCGTCGAGGGATCCTAAAAACTATTACAATGGCCACAAACTCAAACAACCAATTTTACGTGGTTCGGCAAACTGCCTACGTCCACGGGGCAAGGAGGGGGAGATCTACTATTAGAGGGAGAGAATACAACTAGGGTTTATAATCATTCAATCTAAACCCTCAACCAATCTCTCAAACCTCTCACACAAATATCTCTCTCAAAAATACAAAAGGACTCTTTGCACGCCGTCCAAAAAGAACGCTGCCAACACTTTTGCACTTTGCTTCTGCAGCCGCCAAAAGGCCCTCTCTCTTCTGCGATTATTTTTTTTTTCTCCAAAACCGCACAAAACTTTGCCTTTCTCCCAGCCGCCACAAAATTTCGTCCCCTCTGCTTCCACTTGCACAAAACCTAGGAACAAAACTGTTCCTATATATAGCCTGGCCCCTTCACGTGTTCACGAGAAAAAAAAAAACCCGCTGGACTTCTCCCACGAACAAAGTCGTGGCCCCCGCAATCAAGTCCCCTCACGCGGTTTTGATGTCCACGTTCACATGTCTTTCCTCCGCTCAATTCACGTGGGCGTGGCCCCACTAATCTCACGGCTTCACAGAACACTGATATTGGTTTGTTCATTTAGATTATTTAGCCTAGAAGAAATTAATTCTTGGTTAATGTTTACATATAAAACTCGTATTTTTATGTCCGGAAAATTAAACAATTGAGTGATAATTCACGACTTGCACAATAGGCTAACTTGCTATTTGTATTCTGAATTTTTCGCCTAGTTTTTTCAAAGATGATTGTGTCCATACCAGCAGAAATTCTTTATATTGAAACTGAAGCATTATGCAGAAAACATAAAGGTCTTCCAATAAACCAAGAAATAGTAAGGCTATTTTTGATATACTTCCTTGTGGTTAGCTCATAAGTTAAAAGAGTATACGTGCTAGAAGAATTTGATATTGACAAACCTAAATAAGCCACTTCAATTCCTTTTAATTTTCAGTTTTTCTCTTAGATTAATTTGACTATATTCTAGAATTATTTCATTTATGATTATCATTCAAATGGCCCCTAATAGAACGGAATGGAAGAATAGGATTCATGTAGCCGACACCAAACATTTGGGATAGAGACTTCGTTTATGTTGCTGCTGTTATTATCATTCAAATTTACATCTTAGTAGTATTAATCCCACTGTTATTAGTATCCTGGGTATTTTATATAGTGATCTATCCTTACAATTTTGACAACAAACGTTAAGCACGGAGATTATCTTCATGTTACTAACTTGCATTTTATATCTAACTCTATCCATTTTCAATTCAAGCAGGTGTTAGCAGAATACCAATTCCCATCCCCTCTTGTTCCAACACGAGAATGTGTGTTCCTAAGATTCTGCAAGAAGATGTCAGATAGATGTTGGGCAATCGTGGATTTCTCTTTGGACTCCACTGATCCTTGTGATGCTCGAAAATGCTTGAGAAAACCATCCGGGTGTATAATTGAAATATTGTCATTTGAATATCTCAAGGTAAATTAAAAGAACATATTGCTAACACAGTTTTATTCTATATGCACATCTAATCACAAAATTATCATTTTGTAGGTAATCTGGATTGAGAATGTTGAAGTGGATAATAGTTTTGTCCATAATAGGTATAACACTCTTGTCGACTCTGGGCTAGCATTTTGGTGCAAGACGTTGGGTAGTGACTTTGAAGCGACAATTTGATCGCAGTAGAATCATAAAGGAACTCGATGTGGATACTTCTGTTGATGATGATGATGCTAATCCCTTCTATATGATTAATGTTCAAGGTTTACGTTATGCATATTTATGAATGCATAATGAATTATCGTTCTATTTTCAGTTATGAGAACAAACATTAAGAAAAAGAGCATACTGAGTGGCAGAACGGATGGTTGTGAACTTTTCTAGTGTGACGGGCTCTTTTACTCAAAATTGTATAGCTGTATCTGATATGAGCATAGGTAATGTGCGCCTTGTGATTAGAAAGAGCGCTAATGATCCTACCAGGCCATCAAGCACCGTGCTTACTGCATCCACCTCATTTTGGCTACCATTTCATCCAAAAATAGTGTATAATATTCTTCAAGATGAGACTACTTATGCCAAGGTAATCGAAGTTCAATTCTCCTTGTAGCAATTTAAATTTCTCAGTTCTTTTATATCCTACTTCACATGCTTAGTTCTTCAATTTCAAATTGGAATAGGTGGGTATCCTCTCGTGAAAGATCTGAATGCCAAAAAGATAGATCAAATAGTGGTTGGAAAAGAAACAGAGGACACCGTTTCACTCCTTTGTTTAAGAGTAAGTTAAAGAAAGCCCATAAGACTGAATTCTTTTATTGCCCACATTCATTTAATAAAATTTGTTTACATGATGTCAGGATATGACTTTCAAGGAAATCTCTAACAAAGTGATTATCATCCTTCAAGAGAGCAGTTTTGATGTAGCGAGCTCATATGCGGTCTTTGCTCCAGTGATGGAAAAAGACATGAATCAGCTTATGAATGGAACGGACTCCGGTGAAGTCCACCTTTTACCATCAGGCTTTGCCATAGCTGCTGATGGACCTTCACTAAATCGTGGTTCTCTTGTTACTGTCTCGTTTCAAATCATTATGGACTCTTAACGTACAAGCTGATCTGCCACATGACAGTGTTGCTCTCATTGAGAATTTGGTACTGCACGCTGAGAAAAATATCGAGGATGTGATGTTGAATGATGATCACAATGTCTAATGAGGTCCATTACCATCAATATAGACCAGTAAGTTGATCAAATCCAGTGAGCTGAACTGATGTTTGGAATTAGTTTTCTCTATTTTGAACTATATGTGATCTTATTTATATTCGTAAATATATATATAGTCTCTAGCTATTTGAACTATATGAGAGCTTGAAGTTTTAATCTTAAGGTGATCAAATCTCATCTGACACGTTCAGAATGCCATGGTATGCTCTTAAGAGTGGCAGAAATCTTTCACCAAGTCCGAGGGTTTTGATTTATGTTAATTGTGTTATGATGCAACTTCCATGTCTGGTGGAAAGAAAATCAGTTCGTTTTGCATTGAATATTTCTCTAATTCAGTCAGATGTGTTTCTTTCAGTTCTATTAAATGGTTTTGATAGTACGACGAAAACTATAGCTTGCATTGAAAAAAAAAGGAAAAAGAAAAAGAAAAAGAAAAAGAAAAAGAGTAAAGATTGCATGTCTTCTATGCGTACTATACATGTGAAATTTGGAGCAGAGTTTAATCCTTAACCAGAGTCATCTGATAGAAACAAAAGGCGTGACCTGTTACCTTATGTATCATACATGTACACGCCTTTCTAATCTTCCATTATTCTCTCTCAAGCTTCTCTTTCGGTTTCCACTTCATCTTGCCTCTTACAGCACCTTTTTTTTTAATAGAATGAGCCCTCCATATTTCTTTTTTTTTTTTTTTTTTGACATGAGATAAAATCATAGGAGTGGTCGATACTGCATGAGTTTAATAATCAAGCAAAGGTCGTCAGTTGATGCTCCTTTTCAATTGAGTGCAGATTCTATGGCCCCATTTGGCATTTGGTGAGGGGTTAAGAGAAAGGTTAAAGAGATTTAACCCTTTTTTAAACAATCAAATTGGTTAATTTGGTCAAAGGGTTACCAAACTCTGGGAGGGTTAAATTTAGTTAACCTCTCTATGTATGATAAAAAGCCCCTCATTCTTATAGGAGTTTTTCTGATGGGTTTTATTATTATTGTCAATTAGTATCCTCATTATTTTACTCCATCAATAACTGTGGATAGTAGTCCTCCATCTCAAGGTGCTTTATTTATTTATTTATTTATTTATACTTTTTCCCTCGAGGTATCCCCATACTTTTCGGATGGGATTGATCCCCGCTCACACTTCATGGCTGGCGCTGGCCCAAGGGTTTTTTACCTACTAGAGGTTTGACCACAAGACTTCTTGTTGTGGATCGTCCCCCAACAGGAGCTCAGCAGGGTCTTACATCGCTGAGTCAACCCTACAGGTTCCACTAAGGTGCTTTATGCAGGTTCTTTGATAGTCTATGATTATACTCATCCAAACTTCTTTTGAGAGAAGATATCTCAAGGCAAAGTGAGTAATAACCATGGTGGCTCTGGAGCTTCTACACCCTTCAGGATTTATATTCATGGAAAGAATCCACAAAATAAGAACGCTATGATGGGGCTACTTTAAGTGCCACAACTAAATTCATGTTTACACTATAGTGGCCTTTAAGCGTTTGATTAATATTTCATCCAAGAAATGTTAACGTTAGACTAATCTTAGTTCAACAATTCTCAGTGTACCATTAATGTAAAAGTAAATTACACTAATTTTCTAAGAACTTTCAGCAATTTGGAGTAAATATTCAATAACTTTTGTAGAAAACCCCCAATATTTTTTGGGTAAAAATTACAGTAATCCCCCAGTTCCTTTCAAATGCCTCTAAATGTTGTTTTCGGTTCTAATTTACGGGGCTTATATGCAAAATGTGGAAACTTATTGGCGATTTTCTGTAATTCCAAAAGGTTATTGGATTTTATTGCGATTGGAAATTTTTTGGGGATTTAGTGTAATTTACCTCTAATCTAGCCGTCCTTAAACCCCTCCCCACTATACAGCTGACCGGCAAATGAAGGTAAAAGGAGTGGTTTTTAATAAACAATGGCGCACCTAGAATCAGCATGAGCTAGGCTTGCTAAATAAATGGCCACTGAGCGACATTGATCCCTTGCAGTGGATTATAGTCCTTGGGAAATTAAAAAGTATCATGCTTAAGTATACATTAACTAATTAATATACTTTAACTTGCTTAAAATACAATAATAATGTCTGGAGGTTACCCAATCTGTTACACTGGAGTATCATTTAAGTTATGGTTGTATTTATTAAAGTTTAAGTTTTAAAATTGGTCTCTATTAATTAATTTGTTGCCCTGTCGCCATATCATAATTGTGGTGTAAGGCGGAGGCAATTGGGACTCGCTTCTGGTCTTATTATTTAAAATTTATTTCCTTTTGGTTATCAGTAGGAAACAAAAAGCGAAGCAATGTAAACAGAGAGAGAAAATTTCAAGGTCGTCCTAGATAATAATTAAAAAAAAATTCAAGAAAACTTGCTATTAATAAAAGAGCTAAACTTTTTATCAAATAAAATAAAATAAAATAAAAGAGCTAAACTTTTTATCAAATAAAATAAAATAGCTAAACTTTGGGTCGTTTCTCAGGAAACCCTCATAACATTGTTTTTCAACTGAACCCCCTAATTTTCCAACAAAACCCCTCAGCTTTCTTTGTTCTCGTGCAGATTAAGTATGAAGTTCTCAATCATTTTTGTCTCTGGTTGAAAATTTCAAATCCCATGAACTCTCTATCGAAGTTTTGCTTCTGATATCAAGAAATTATGACATTATGAATTTTCAGGTCATTTTTTCAATATTATTTTCACATCCAAAATCACTCAGAGCCATTATACAATTACATGGCTGCAATACTCCGGTCGAAGATTATGATTCAAGACCGAACCTGTTAAAGTTGGGACAAAATATGTATATTGTATTAAACTTCAAGCACAAACTCACTTAAAGAAAAAACAAAAGAATTTCTTATAGTAATTACTATTGTCAACTTTCCTCCATTGGAACGCAAACTTGTACAACCATTTGTTAGATCTAAACCAAAACTTAAGATCTAAAACCATATATCCATGATTAATTCAAAGAGATTAACAAGAATCATAAATGAGCGGAAGCTTATACCTGAATCCATAGAAGAAAACTTGATTTGGGTTTTTGATGAACTTCTAACCTTAGGGTTTTTCTAAATCCGAATTTCTCTCTCTAGATGGGGGTGAAGAGAATTAGAGAGTGTAACCCTAGGTTAGGGACCATAACCCCTTATTTATAGATGTTGTACTTTTATAATTTAGCCCCTCAATAAATCACAATTACAACCTGGTATCTGCACATATAACCCCATGATTATATTTAAATACCCATTAACCCAACTTAATTGATCACTTTAGTGGGTTATCCTGAAAGATAGCAATACATATTTATTTAATCATATGTGCCCACAAATAGATTTATTAGATTAAATCCAACAATCTCCCACTTGGGCACCATATGATTCCTTAAATTGTGTATAACCTTATGAGCTCAAAAATTGCTATCACTGAAAAGGTATTTCCGAACAATCTCGTCCATTGACTATATCAATATAGGATCAAAGCGGCCTTCATCACATTTATCATGACTCGACCCATCAATGGTCACATATACCAATACAATCAAACGACATAGATCAATCATGGATGTGCAGCATGAAAATTACATGCAATGTGATCAGTACATGTCTATTTTCAACTGGTCCTCCTTAGTGATGTCAAAACCAAACATAATGTAACAGAGTGTCTTAACTGAATACTTTATTCTGATCAGACAATACAACCAAACATAAAGCACCACAATTACAAACTCCCACTAAAACATAATATCCTCAAATAATACCACACCCATATGAGCAGTATGCTCATGAAAGACCTTAGGTGGCAATCCCTTAGTAAGAGGATCAGCTATCATGGAGTTTGTCCCAATGTGCTCTATGGATATCTGTCCACTCTGTACCCTTTCTTTCACAACCAGGAACTTAATGTCAATATGTTTTGACTTAGTTGAGCTCCTGTTGTTATTGGAATACATTACTGCAGATTTATTGTCACAATATAACCTTAGTGGTCTTTCAACATTTTCCAAAATGCGCAGTCCCGTGACAAAATTTCGCAGCCATATTCCCTGATTGGATGCCTCATAGCAAGCTACAAATTCTGCTGCCATAGTGGAGGAAGCTACTAGTGTTTGTTTGACACTTTTCCATGATATAGCTCCTCCTGCTAACATATAAATGTAGCCTGATGTAGACTTCCTGCTATCTTGGCATCCAGCAAAATCAGAGTCCGAATACCCAATGACCTCTAATTTCTCTGATTTTCTGTATGTGAGCATGTAATCTTTTGTTTTCTGAAGATACCTCATAACCCTTTTGACTGCTATCCAATGATCCATACCAGGGTTGCTTAAGTATCTGCCTAACATCCCAACAATGTACGCAATATCCGGACGCGTACATACCTGAGCATACATTAGACTTCCTACAGCCGAAGCATAAGGAATCTTCTGCATTTCCTGAATTTCAAGGTTACCTTTAGGGCACTGATTGAGACTAAACTTGTCTCCTTTAGCAACAGGGGTGTCACCTGGTCTGCAATCTTGCATGCCAAACCTTTTAAGTACCTTATCGATATAGCTCTTTTGTGATAATCCAAGAATACCCCGAGAGCGATCTCGATGTATCTGGATCCCTAATATAAAAGAGGCGTCCCCAAGATCTTTCATCTCAAATTTCTTTGATAGAAATCTCTTGGTTTCGTGCAGCATGCCTATATCATTAGTGGCAAGCAATATGTCATCGACATACAAAACCAGAAAAATATACTTACTCCCACTGAACTTGTGATATACACAGTCATCAACAATGTTCATCTCAAAACCGAACGAGATAACTATTTGTTGAAACTTATGATACCATTGACGAGGAGCTTGCTTGAGTCCATAGATGGATTTCCTTAATTTGCAGACCATATTCTTTGGGTCTCCTGACACAAAGTTTTCTGGTTGCACCATATAAATCATCTCATCAATGTCTCCATTGAGAAATGCAGTCTTAACATCCATCTGATGTAACTCAAGATCATAATGAGCAACAAGTGCCATGATTATTCTGAAAGAGTCTTTCGATGAAACCGGAGAGAAAGTCTCTGTATAATCAATGCCTTCCTTTTGAGTATAGCCTTTAGCCACAAGACGTGCCTTATACCTCTCCACATTACCATTTGCATCCCGCTTGGTTTTAAAAATCCATTTACAACCAATTGGTTTTGCACCTTCTGGCAATGGGACAAGTTCCCAAACCTTATTGTCTTGCATAGACTTATACTCTTCATTCATGGCATCAATCCACTGTTGAGAGTTAGAACTTTTCATGGCCTGAGAGAAGTTGATTGGATCATCTTCTAACATTCCACTACTTTCCTCATGTTCTTGAAAAAATACAATATAATCATCCGAAATAGCATTTCTCCTTTCTCTAGTGGATCTCCTTAATGGCACTAGTTCTTGAGGTTATTGAGTTTGTTCTTCTGGAACAGGGAGTTGTTCAACATTATCATCTTGAGGTTCCAGATTTACTTCTTGAGCAACAACAGGTATAGGAACCTGAATATTGTCAAAAGTAACTGTATGGATTGGATCTGAAACCAATTCCTCCTCAAAAGTAATGTTTCTAACCTTATTTCTCCCCCCAAACTTAACATCCTCAAAGAATGTTGTTGTTCCCGTCTCAAAAATATTCCTTATAGTGGGATCATAAAACTTATAGCCCCTAGAACATTCAGAATACCCAATAAAGTAGCTGCTAACTATTTTAGAGTCAAATTTCTTTTTATTTAGCCTATAAGGCCTTGCCTCAGCTGGACATCCCCAAATATGTAAATGCTTTAAACTGGGCTTTCGACCAGTCCAAAGCTCATAAGGTGTTTTAGCAACTGCTTTACTTGGTACTCTATTCAGAATGTAAGCTGCTGTCTTAAGTGCTTCTCCCCAGAGTGACTCTGGTAAAGAAGAATGAGCAATCATACTTCTTACCATATCCTTAAGAGTCCTATTTCGTCTTTCAGCTACACCATTCATGCTAGGTGAACCCGGCATGGTGTACTGTGGGATGATACCGCATTCCTCTAGGTATCTAGCAAA